GTAAAATGCTAAAAAAAAAAGTTTGTGTAAACAGTTTTGTAGCATTTAAGGTCCATATAAGGACAGGGAGTCACAGTGACGAGACGTCTTTCCTTAGAATGACCAAACTGTGAATATTTTAAAGCAAAACTTTTTCAAAATATGTTCTCCATGACACTAACATGTTTTCGAACACATTCTATAGGTGGTTCAATGGACGAGATAGGTCAGCTGAAGGTCAATGACTTCTTCGAGGTGGAAGGTCAAAACCAAATCTTCGCTATTGGTGATTGTTGCAATACCAATGAGACAAAGATGGCTTTCAGGGCAGGTTTTCATGCAGACTTAATAGTTCAGAACTTCATACAAGAATCAAAAGGCAACAAAAAACATCCATACAAGCCAAGTGAGTAATGTCACCATGTCAAAAATTGACTATTTTCTATTATGATCTGAAAGAGTGGAATATTTGTCAAAATACAATCACTGTACTATATTTATTTTTTATAAAAGGTTTCATGGTATAAGTGATTTCCAAAATAGTTTGATTGTGCCGTTTTTATTATTTATTTATTATAAATAGCTTTTCTTCAAAAAGTAAAATGTGAAATTTATATCAACTTTTAAATTTACTGTTCTTCCATTTCGGGGAAGTCACAGTATAATCTTTAAGGTCTTGTTTGTTTGTAATACCTCTATTGTTTTATTCAGTGAAATGCATCATGGGGTGCATGCTCTTTGTCAATCGTTGATTAGTCTTTTTAAGTACAACCATTTTATTTAGGTATTTAATTTTTCATTATTTAATTTAATTAAACAATGGCTTGTAAATAATTATTAATATATAATTTTTTTTAATTTTATTATCGCAGAAGGCCCAATTATGATTCTGTCATTGGGTCGTAATGGTGGAGTCTTTCAAATAAACTCCTTCAATTTCGGAAGTTTTGCAGCCAGGAAACTGAAAAGCAAAGATATGATGGTTAACAAATATTACAAAGACCTTGGTCTCAAACCGCCCAAGAAATGAACAACAGAAACACCTGTGCGGAAGAAACATGGCTACATTATTTGGTAAAATAAAAAATAAGCAATAGGAATTTTGTATCCCCATTTCTTTTTTAAAATACCTACCCTAACAAAATGCAGTCCAGTGTTTGCTTTTGATGTATTATATTTAAGCATTGCTGTTTGTTTAGAATGAACTCCAAGAGACAAACTACATTTCAAATAATATTCCTTGTGGATGCTGAAAGTGAAATCTTCAAAATGTATGCTTTATACCAAATATGATATACATTTATACAAATGTCATTTTTGCCAATTTAATTTTGTCAATTTTGGAACACACTGATTTACATTTACATATTTTTTACTTTTATGCTTTATTCTAATTTGACTGACTTGTAATCATTATTCTTGTTTTCATTATTTGATTTGAAATGGCTGACTTATAGCCATAAGTTTTTCCATGATTTGATTCAATATGGCTGACTTGAAAAAGAAATGTTTTGTTTTTTTGGATTTAGAATAAAACACTACAATTTGTATTCAATAGTGAGATATGTTAACATAAAAACTGTGAGTTTATCATTTATTCAGTAATTTTAAGACCTAGATGTGGTACATACTTAATATAATATTAATTTTTAAATACAATAGTTGGGGAGGATGTGTGTGCATTTATTGTTCTCTTTGTGAGTTACTTTTATTAGTCCCCGTCTGTGCATCCGTCCGAAGTCATATCTCAGAATCCCTTGGACCGATTCCGTTCATTCTTTGCATGTGGCTAGCACTTTATGTGGGACATATGCACATGCAGTGGTTTAGCGATTCGATTCAAAATGGCTGACTGGCAACCGTCTTGTTTTTTAAAAATGTTGTATTTTGGACATGCTTTGTCAGTTTTCATTCAAACATGGTACATAGATTATACATGTTAGGATACATGTTCATGACGATTTATTTCACAATTTGATAAAAGATGGCCGACTGGCAGCCATCTTGTTTTTTGAAAATGTCGTTGTTTGGACATGTTTTGTCAGTTTTTATTCAAATTTAGTACATAGATCATACATGTTAGGATACATGTCCCTGACCGTCCGTGAGTTCCTGAGTCTGTCCGTCCATCCGTCCATGTGTTCGTCCGTGCGTCAGTCTGTCCAGAGTCATATTTCAGAATCCTGTAGGCCGATTCCGTTCATTCTTTGCATGTGCCTAGTACCTTATTTGGGACATATGCACACGCAGTGGTTTAGTGATTCGATTCAAAATGGCCAATTGGCAGCCATCTTTTTTTTTAATGTTGTATTTTGGACATGCTTTGTCAGTTGTCATTCAAACTTGGTACATAGATTATACATGTTAGGATACATGTCCATGACGATTTATTTCGCAATTGGATAAAAGATGGTCGACTGGCAGGCATCTTGTTTTTTTTTTATGCGGTATCTTGGACGTGCTCTGTCAGTTTTCTTTCAAATTTGGCACATACATGTACTTTATACATGTTAGAATGCATGTCCATGACAATTTGTTTCAAAATCTGGTCAAGGATGGCCGATTGACAGCCATCTGACTTTTTGGCCTTACTACTATATTTCCACAATTTATGTACCATTTTCATTTGTATTTGGCACATACATCATACATATCAGTGTGTTTCATAATCAGATCAAAAATGGCCGAATAATGGCTGTTTTTATTTTTGGCCATATTACTACTACACAGAACACGTGTTTTGATGTAAATAAACAATCTGTTGTATACGCCACTTGGAACTCAAGTTTCAAGGACATGCTCACGACAACCCCTCCGCTTTAATATGACGAGCACAAAGAGAACTTTCAAAAATTTAACGAGAACTGTGTCATTTTCAATGACTTGTTTGTGGTGTTTTACATACAACATTACAAGTTTATTATATAGCTATATTAATCCAGCAAATATGCATAAACAACATAGAAAGATTCAGCAATCGGTGTATGGATCTGGATCTTGATTGATGCAGCAATCGCTGTATGGATCTAATTCTGCAATGCTCCAGCAATCAATCACAGTATGAAGCTAAATATGGAATGCTCTAGCAATCGCTGTATGGATCTAGATCTGGAATTCTCCAGCAATTGTTGTATGGATC